AAGCAAGCTGCACCCACACCATTTTGTTTAGTCAGGCTTGTCAGTTACAGGCTCTGGCAGCAGGGAAAGGCTCCCAAAGCTCCCGACTGCCAGAACTTCTCTCCACTGTCGTGAGAAAAAGTTCTGGTGGAAGAAGGAAGCAGGGAAAGGCTCTGGCAGCAGGGACTGCCTCCCCCCTGCCAGAGCCTTTCCTCACAGTGGAGAAAGGCTGAGGCAGCTCTCAGAGCCTCTTCCTGCTGTTGGGGCCTTTTCCCTGTGGAAATGGCAGGGTAGAGAAAGCTCTGGCAGCAGGACAATTCACTGAAAAAAACAGCAGTGAGCACAGGAGAGGCATTGCTTACAAGTGCAGCAGAGAGCTGGGTAAGATATTTACTCTAAGGATTCAGACATTTTGTTAATCTACTCACCTAAGCAGTTCTTAGCTGTCTACACTGCTATTTATACCTATGGTAGTTCTCTGAAGTGTATGTGTGCCCTTAAAAGAATTTGTTCTGTAGATTTCAGGAAAACTCACTCTTCATCCTTATTTAGTTCTTGACCTCTTGGTATTGAGACTGCCAAAGATGCCAACTATGCCAGTGACTTATGATACGAACACTGAACTAACCACATTTTTTTTACTTTAATTTTAGCCATAATTTTTGATTCATGTATGGATTAGCAGATATCTTTTAAGAGCAACAGAACAACTAGGAAAGTGTGCTTCCAGTGTCTAGTGAATATGCAATATTTTTGGTAGAAACTGTGTGCAAACTGCCTTAGGCTACACTGAAAATCCCAGCCTTAAAATGTCTCCAATATTGAGTCTTTTGCCCTAAATATGTTGCAGCACCAATTTAACTGAGGCTTCTGGATTTTATGAATACTACGATTCCCTTTTTCCTAGCTGCTATGCAACTGACAGTTTTAGAACTTTTAACTAGCTAAGAAGTTAATATTATAAACCTACTTTAGAGGTCTATGACTTCATCTCAGATTGCTCTCTTGAATTTGGTAATATGAGCGTGTAAATTAGGGATGTTAAAATGCGTTTTTTGGGGTTTTTTTGTAAATGTGTAACTGCTGAAAATTATATGAAAATAATATTACCGTGTTTAAAAGCAGAGACAAATATGGAAACAATTTAATAGTAAGCAAAAAGTGACCAATATATTCAGGCTATAACCAGCCAGTTCATTACTGATATACTATGTATAACATTTTATACTGTTATTTAAAAAAATCAGTTCCTTACAGAAGACAGGGAGCCTCAGTGTTGAGGATATAACCATAACACCTTTAAAATTTGTCTGTGTGGATAATTCAAACATCCCTATTTGAGACCAGGTGTAATCATATTACCTCTTCCAGAACAAGTTTTAGGGATAGGAAAAGACAATGTGAATTTAAACAAATACAGAGATTTGAACAAGATAAGAGTGTCTATTTCATACCTTTAATATCAGCAATTTTTGTCTTCAACAGTGGGTATGTTGCTAGTCTAGCAATTGCTCTGTCAGCTGCAGTGGAATTTGGCTGCATAGAAAAAATATCAAGCAGTTACTAGAAGACTGTTGTATAGTGATATGATGGTTGTATTGGTTTGCCTGATCCATATCATAAGGCACACTAGTGACAGATTATGCACTTTTCAGACTACTAAAAATGAATCAGATCCCAAGATAGCGAACATTTAAATGTTAGCAGGACTGCACACATCACATTTGTCTTAAATTAATAATACTGAACCACCCCAAGGAGTGTGAAAAGTTTGACTATGGGGCTACTGAGAAGAACATCACAAATATGCAACAATGCACTTGCCTTATTTAAAATATGAATGATATTGTGATATTTACTACACACCACACCATAATAACTCGAACTCAGGAACCAATCCCTCCAACAAACCTCGGTGCCAACTCTGCCCACATATATACACCAGCGACACCATCACAGGCCCTAACCAGATCTGCCATACTGTCACTAGTACATTCTCCTGCACATCTACCAACATAATATATGCCATCATGTGCCAACAATGCCCCACTGCTATATACATCGGCCAAACTGGACAGTCCCTACGTAAAAGAATCAATGGACACAAATCTGATATTAGGAATGGCAACAAACAAAAACCTGTAGGAGAACACTTCAATCTTCCTGGACACACAATTGCAGATCTAAAAGTAGCCATCCTTCAGCAAAGAAACTTCAGGACCAGACTTCAAAGAGAAACTGCTGAGCTACAGTTCATCTTTAAGTTTGACACAATCAGCTCTGGATTAAACAAAGACTGTGAATGGCTTGCTAACTACAAAAGCAGCTTCTGCTCTTTTGGAATTCACACCTCCAGATCAGCTGCTAGAAATGGGCCTCATCCTCCTTGATTGGATCCACCTCGTCATCTCCAGCCTGATCCTGGCCTGCATATTTATACCTGCCTCTGGATATTTCCACTACATGCATCTGATGAAGTGGGTCTTTGCCCACGAAAGCTTATGCTTCTACACTTCAGTTAGTCTATAAGGTGCCACAGGTCTCCTCGTCACTTTTGTGATATTTATGTTAAGAGTAAACTGTCTATATATTTTCAAAGTTGAATAACGTACTACAATTTTACATTCACAGCATATGAGCTATATTGGTCTACAATAATTAAAAAAGGCCGAAGAGGACTATATACATGAAGCTGGCTTGACTGGAGGGACAATTACTAGTATGTCAGATAACATTGTTTGTCTTCTTTCTTTGGTAGAGCTCTATAGACTACATTTAAGCCATTACTATTATTTCCAGTAGTGCTCAGCATGCAATGGGTGCTTTCCAAATTTGAGACAACACTGCTACAGCCCTGCACAGATACAAAATTTGTATCCACATCCATATCTGTCTCCACAAAAATAAGCTGCTGATATCCGCGGATGCGGATACCCATAAGAATAAAGTGGATATCCATGGATTTGCAGGGCTCTAAACACTGCTCCTTGTCTACCAGAACTTTCCAGTCTAAAAGACAAATTGATGAAGGGGTAAAGGAGAAACCTACATAGCTAAGTAAGACAGTCAAAGTAACAAATGGCCATGTCTTCATAACTCAGATTGAAAAATACAACACACTTGTGCTTTTAAAATAGAGGTTATGACAATACCATGGATAATAAATAGGAAGAAACTACTTGACTTTTGTAGGAAAAGTTAACTTTCAGGAACATGAAGAAGTCAGCAACTTTGTGGATCAGCGTAAAGAGGGCATTCTAATCACATGGCATGATTTGGATGAAGGAACAGGGATTCATGAGAGAAGCAGGTGGAATGAGGCATCAAGGCTGGCATTATTAATACAACAGTGAAGATGAGGGAAGATGGATAAAGAGAAAGATGCACTCTGTTAAGGTGCAGAGAAAATTACATGTGAATTTGATGCAGCTGAGCAGTGAAAGCCATTGGAGGGATTTAAAGAGCAGGGTAACACTGGTCAGATTGAAAGGTAAGGATGATACAGGGGTTTGTGGTTTTGTATGAAAAGACAGAGGACAATTTGGGTGCCATGGAGGCAAGAGAAAGAATTTATAGAAATTAGCTGGTATCTCTTTCCATTTCTGCACATTACATTATCTTGTGATTTTAAGTTCCTAGTTCTTCATATGTTGGACAATCACAGGCAGTTATTAGAGAGACTGTTCTTCTCTGAAGACACTTAACACTTTACTGCAAAAGTTTAATGGACAAAACTGCTTGGGAAGGCATCTCTGATCCAGTATGGATTTTGTGGAGTGGAAAAGGGGGAGACACACCAAATCCAGCACAGCTAATTGCCCAGTGTTTATCACCTGGAATGTGGGAGACCCTGGTTCAAGTTTCTGCTGTGCCTTGCTTGGTGCAGGGACCAGAACCTGTCTTTCCCACATTCCAGGTTAGTGTCCTAACCATCAAGCTACTGGTAACACTAGAGTGGGTCTCTCTCCCTCATTCCATATCAGAACGAAAACAAATTTTGAACTCTCTAACCTCCTTGGAAATGTTTTCTGGCCAGCTTTAGGCAAAAAGTTTTCAAAATAATGAGGCCAACTCAACATCTAGTAGAAGACCGTACTATTTAGGTAATATTTCTTTTATGATGAAATGATTTTCTGAGCTTGAAAGTAATCTCCCTTCTCCCTAAGTCACACATATTTTAGGAATCTTTCTTTAGGTCTAGGCGAGCTGGGAAACTGTTCCCTTTCAGACAGTCTACAATGCTCTGAACACTGGCCAGAGGAGATGGCCCAAGAGACATGCATATTCCATCTCCAAGGGGCCTCAGCTGGCTTACTCCCAGGCTGGTTTGGCCTAGAGAACATGAAGCCTGAATCCAGATCCCATGTGACAATGAAGCATTCGGCTACCAGACTGCTGGGACAGCGTGCTCACATTGCTGAAGATCAAAAGGTATTTTCTTTGGAGATTTTTCTATAGCTGGAAAATGTATTTTTTAAACTTAATTAATATACTTTCCCCCTCCGCTGCTTCCTGTGGGTTTAGAAAGTGTATACCATAAAGTTCACAAAGCAGCAGAAGCTTCTGTGCAACATCTGGTGTTCTTTAATTCAAGTATTTATGGAAATGGTTTATTTGCCAGCTCATATGGAATATTCATTTTTCTTATATAAAAACACCCACAAACACTATCTACATTAGGAGATAGCAGCCATAAACATACAATGTGACATTATTATCTTTAAACACTTCCTATATTTTGACACTGTGGCTTATCCAAGCTTATGGAAAATCAAATTGAATTGAAGAGTTTTCCATCATACGAAATACTGACAGAAAATCTAATTTAGAAGGAAAAATGTTAAATTTACCCACAGAGGAAGAATTACTAAATTTGATTATTTATGCAAATACTGTCTGGAATAGTAAATATTTCTTGTACCACTTTACACTAATGCTTGTTTTTCATGCAAGAGTCTTATAGTATTTTTGAAGGTAGACATTATCCCTATTTTACAGAGAAATTGAAGCATATATTAGCCCCAGAGACTTGCCTGAAGTCATAAAGCAAATCTCTGGCATGCAACAATAAAATTCAGTTTCCCTGGCTGCCTATCAAGAAGCTCAGTTACAAAACCCAATATTTACTTAGATGTGCATGAATAGAAATTTTATTTTTTGGTATTTCTATAGCTGTTGTCTGTCCAATATATAATATGTCAAACGAAAACCTATGCTAAAAGAATGTAAAAAGTTGCTAAGTGAAAAACTATCAGGAAATGCTTAAGGCTAAATGAACATGCAACATTTCTATCTTCATGTGCATATATATATATATATATTTATGAGACTATGTAACTGCAACACCACATTGACTTCAGCAGAGTTACTTCTGATTTATATCAACATTTGTGAAAGAGAATAAGGCCATAGCTGTTACAGTTGTCATATTTTTTCCAGGTGGTGGTATTGGAGGAACAAGATCCTCGTCCCTCATTCAACATTCAGTGATTTACAACAACATAAAAAGGAATCCATCTGTCACAACTGCCATGTCTGGCTAAGCTTCATGAGTAATATTTTTATGCTGATAGTTTGCAAGTATGAAAATTATTTCCATGTTCAGTCAGCATAATGGCTCTTCAAATTCCGAGCTGGGGATGAGGAGGCAGGCAATAGAAGGGAGAGGTGGACTGCAGCAGCTACAGGATTTCCACTCAGTTGACCCTGCCTCCTCATCTTGCTGTGCAATGTTGGAGCAGCTGCCCAGAGTTAGGGGTAGCATCGAGTATAGGGACAGCATGGAGTGTGGCTGTCATAAGCCTTTGGTAAGTATTGTAGGTGAGTTGTTCCTCCAGCGGCAGCTTCCCATCAATGGGAGTGTGCACATTCAGATGCCTGAGTGAGCAAACAACTCAGCATGAACTTCAGTATATGTCAGAGACTGACCTTAGCATTTTTGAGCAGGCTTATGAAATGTTTTCAGCTGTAGCTGACATCTGTCCACAGGGGAGCTGGAACATTTTTTATAGTGGAGTGCTGATGTTGGAAACCATGCATCTGATGTTTGTTATTGCTACTTCAAGCCAGAGGTGCTGAAGCACCTCTAGTTCAAGCGCCAGTGTCTCTCCACTGTGATCACACTGGCCTAAAGAATTAGTGGAAGATTAGCAAGATGATACTCAGCAATAAAACTAAACTTTACCAAACTATTTCACATAAGACATCAATGCATGCAGGCAATTTTAAAGTCGCCCTTTAGTTACTGACAATTAACATTTTCAAAATAATCTTTATGAAGGTAAAAGCCTAAAGCAGAAGGCTTCAAACATCATTGCACCAAGACCCCTTCTGACAACAAAATTACTACATAACCCCAGTGGGTGGAGAGGGGAGCCTGAACCCAGGCCCACTGAACTGCTTCAGCCCTGGGTTCTAGAAAGTTTTAAGCTGGCCCTAGCAACCCCTTTAAAAAGGGGTGTCAACCTACTTTTAGGTCCTGATCCATAGTTTGAAAACCACTGGCATATAGACTTGCTTTATTTTATTAAAATGAA